GAATCTTTCCAATCCATTCCAGTCTTTCTATTCCCACTGTTGTTTACCTAATAAATTACTTATAATTTTTATTTAGACTATTACAGTATCTTTCTAAATATTCTTCTGAATTTAACTTTTCATACAGTTATCATTTTAAAAGCATAGATCCAATGACATCCCTTACTTGTTCTCAGTTAGTAGTTTCCTATTATACATAGTAAAATCTGTATACCTTAGCTTGGCATTTATATCCATCTCTGATATGTCTTGACCTGGACAGAATTTCTAACTTTTATCTGCCACTAGTTTAAGTTCTTTTGCCTACCTTGCCCTTTAGCTATTTTATATTTTACACTGTTTTCCTTTACTAAAAGATGCTAGTTGCTTTTTTCCTTTTTTTAAAAGCATTTCTATCATTGGAATGCACTTGCGCTCTCACTCTTTCTCTCTCTTCCTTTTATTGTGGCCATCTTTTCTCCAGCACCTCCTCGGTTTCATCATTGGCATTATTTTCTGTTTGTTCTTTATTTCCTTTTTCTGTATTGCATGTGCTATAATCTGCCTAATGCTATCTGTTACTATTGCATTTCTGTGTTTTCTTTTAAAATTGTGGGTGCTCATAGGCATCTGTATATCCTCCACAATGCTTGGAGTAAAATAAGCACTTAATAAATGTTACTCTTAATTTGACAGTAAGGACAGTATAAGATTTCACAAGATATTATATGATTAATTATAGAATGCATTTTGTGTGGAAACTGTTGAATTCAAGTAGAGCAGTCACTTCAAATAAGAATGGTTAGAGTGCTGGGGTTGTGGCACAGTGGTAGAACTTTTACCTATCAAGCATGAGGCACTGGGTTCTGTCCTAGGCACCACATTAAAAAAATAATAATAAAGAATGGTTAGAAAGATATTTTATTGGGAGAATTTAGATTACAGTATTAAATAGTATTTTTAAAAATTTTTTTAGTTGTTGTTGACGCAATATCTTTATTTATTTATTTATTTATATGTTGTGCTGAGGATGGAACCCAGGTTGTCACACGTGTTAGGCGAGCGTTCTTCTGCTGAGCCACAACCCCAGCCCCTAAACCATAAAGTATCAAACCACAAATTTTAACTAGAAATAAAAATGTTTTAGGAAACAAACATTTTTAAATATTTTGAGTTGTTACTTTTTTTTTTTTTTTTTAAGGTGCTGGGGATTGAACCCAGGGCCTTGTGCATTTGAGCCAAGCACTCTATCAACTGAACCCTCCAGTTGTTTCATTTTGATGGGGAGTAGGCATGGTATATTCAATAATGCTAGGCCTATGCAGAAGAAATATGTTTTCTTCTATTTCTTCAAGTATTCCCTAGAAAATAATTCTTGTCAGGTGACATTTCTTAAAAAAGGAAAAATGCTTTCATTCTATAACCAAGTGGTGTTTCAGTTAAAGCTTTGTGCCTTGTTTAATCCTCTGTAAAACATTTTAGGTAATTATGACTATAGGTTGATAGAGTGTGATTTTAGTTGAACACCAAGGAGCATCAGAAAATGGTACAGTTTATGTATCAGTTGTAATTGCAAGTTGGGATGTTTTGAGTTCTGTTTCATATCATATTTTCTTTTCTGTAATGACCAGTAATGTCAAAAGAAAGAAGGAACCATTTTTAGTGGACTCAGAATAAAAAACAATAATATTGAACTTCTTTGGCCTTTACTGTTATTTTAGAAAAGCAGATATAGTACTTTATTATTTCCAGAACTTAACCTGCCATTTTTGGATAAAATATTAAATATAAATATGATTAATAAATGTACAAACACTTTTTCCTTACTTATGAGCATTTTATAGTTTATAAATATTAATTAATCTAATACCTTCAATTTTTAATGTTTCAGTTTTGTCCTTGTGATTCCTGTTTTAGTCTGAAGTTATGCTTATTTAATATAAATGGCTTAACTTTTGGATTTCACATATAGTTCATTTTAATTGCAATTGATTTACTTTAGTTAGTGTAATTTTTAGCTACTTTTGTGATTTTTTAAAATTTATTAGAATGTATTTTTTCTATAGTATATTAGTTACAACACTGTGAGTGTAACAGTACCAGCAGAAGAATTTGTTTATAATTATTTCCATTTATTATGATTAAAATGTAAGAAAAGTTCACAAAATTTACATGTGGATGTGTATATATGTGGAATTTAAGTACAATTCTATCCCCTGGCTTTGCTATTAGTTAGCAATAGTAATTTTTCAGCAATGATCAATAACACAGTAGAGTTAGTTACTGGATGTGCTTTTTTAAAGAAAAAATCATTATCCCAGTCTTTAAAATGTGTATAGATATCCTATATTTTTGAAGGATGTACTTTGAAATCTAGATTTCAAAGGTTCAGATTAATATAGATATTAAAATTTCAAAACTGATCTTGATGTTTCCTCATCGTATGATGGCAAATGAGTAAAGACATTAAAAATTTTGTTTATTTATCTATTTATCTATTTATAGTTCACTTGACCACTGAGCCACTATTTTGTATTTTATTTAGAGACAGGGTCTCACTGAGTTGCTTAGCACCTTGCTTTTGCTGAGGCTGGCTTTCAACTCCTGATCTTCCTACCTCAGCCTCCCAAGCCACGGGGATTACAGGCATGCACCACTGTGCCCAGCAAAAGTTATTTATTTATAATAAGGCCATCTGCTTCTTCTTTTTCTGTTCTTTCTTTTTTTTTTTTTTTTTTGATACCAGGGATTGCATCCAGGGGTTTTTAACCAGTGAGCCACATCTTCAGCTCTTTTTATTTTTTATTGAGACAGGGTCTCACTAAATTGCCGAGGCTGGCCTTGAACTTGTGATACTCCTGACTTGGCCTCCCAAGTTGCTGGGATTACAGGTGTGTGCCATCACGTGTGGCAGCCATTAGTTTCTTTTAGAATATAAGTTTCACTATGAAACACAGTATGCTTTTGGTCATTTATAAATTTGGTCATTTGCTCCATTTATAATTTGGTCATTTGCTCCATTTTAGAATAGCATTTATGTTTTAATATAGTTTTTTTTGTTTTTAAGAAATTTTAACTATCAACAATACTGTTTATAAATTCTGATATTTGGCATTTATTTATTTAAAAACATTTTTTTGGTGGTGCTGGGGATTGAACTCGGGGCCTCCTGCTTGCCAGGCATGTGCTCTATTGCTGACTTATATCCCCAGCCCCATATTTGATATTTATAGAGACATTTTCCCCTGCAGTTCAGTTGTCTTATCTTCTGTTTCTGTTGTTTTTATTTTTCCATACATTTCTGATTTAAATAAAGAGCAGAAATTATTTCTGCTGACAACAATGAAAACTAAATTTCTTTGAATTATGAATCAGCATGTTACTTACGTACTCTCTGTTAGGATACTGTATTTTAGCTGCCTTTAAGTTTGCAGAGTTCCCTTACAGGCATGAAAATGTAGTTTTCTCTGCAGAGCTGGCAAAAATAATAAGTATTTGGGGGGAACTGATACCATTATACAGATATTTTATATATAATTTTTAAAATATAAATTGAATGTTAAAAGTAACAATACATGTTACTGTGTAATATGATATACTTGTTTTCAGTTTTGTTCTATGATACCTTCATAGACAGTTTTCATTTGTTCATTTATTTATACCCACAAAGAGGCATGATAAATCATATTGAGTATGTGAGTTTTCCCTCTAGAACATTATGATAGCTTTATTTAAGTTTATCAATTTCAAAATACAGTCTTAATGGTAAATGAGACTATATTGAATATAGGAAGATTTGATAATCTGAAGAAGACCTGTCTTGGTGTTTAATGCTTTTCTTTTCTTTATAATTCTAAACAGCTGAGGGCTGTACAAAAAATAGCTGAAAATCTATTGCATAATTGTATACTTATAGTGTGTCCCTTTTCTCTAATGTGTTATCATGCATCTACTCTCAAACAGATTTCTTTTAATAAATGCTTATAAATAATGTGACTGAGATATAATTAATGTAAGCATGAAGTTCTGTTAGCTTGAACACAGTGATGATATACATTTATATATACCTTTCTTTGCCCACTTTCTTTTAGGGACACATTTTCACTTTGAAATAGAGGAGGGGTCAGGATTTGAGGATTATGTGAACATTTGGGTTTTCTAATTACTGTTGCTTGCCTTTAGTAATATCCATTAGTTGTTGAAATGTTTCTTTCTTATTAAAGAACATTAAATTAACTGAAGTTATTAAGAAAATTAGGTGGATGTTGGATCACTTGTCATTTTTCCCCTTAGTTTTTCTCCACTGAGACATAGACGTGTGTGTGTGTGTGTGTAATTTTTTTTTTTTTTATAAAGGACAAAGAAGACTGAAAAGTAATAAAATGTTTTATTAGGGCTGGGGTTGTGGCTTAGTGGTAGAGTGCTCACCTAGCACTTATGAGGCACTGGGTTCAATCCTCAGCACCACATAAGACTAAACAAAATAAGGTATTGTGTCCATGTACAACTAAAAAAATACTTAAAAATGTTTTATTAGTAGAGAATTTCATTTTACAACTGAGGAAACAATTATGGAGAATTGAAATAACTTTATGAGTTAAAAGTAGCAATACTTAGCATTTTCTTTTTTGAACATCACAGATCTTTATGATTCAGGGTCAGAAGAACTATATGCTTATTTACTTAAGTCTCCTTAAGATATCCTACGTTTTCTCTCCCTTTCACTTTCTGCTAACATTCATATAAAATGGTGAAATTAAAGGCTAATCCTATGAAAGATAGTGACTCAACATTCTAGGGTGTTACTTTATTTATAGTTTTCTTTAATTTAAAATATATCCATGTCCATGTGAATCATGGGTCAGTAATATGTATTGGCATTCTAATGATATTTTCAGGTGAACTTCCGAGATATTTCCTTCCTTTAAAAGAAGTTTTTAATTTTTATAATGAAGCATAGTTTGCATTTCATTATTATATCTTGTCTGAAGAATAAGAAATTTAATACCAAGAGACCATAATTAAGTAAAATTATTTTATTTGAATCCCTTAAGTCATTTGCACATTTTTCATAAAGCTTTTTATAAACATCTTTACTATAGTCTTTTCAAGTAGAATTAACAGTTAACAATTTATTTTATTTTATCCACAGTATGAATAACTTAAGGTGAAATTAGTTGACAGGTAACTGATATTCATGAGTGAACCGTCGTCTCTCCTGTAGTAATCAATGCATAGCTACAGCTGGTTGAAGGGGACCAAATCCATTGAAGAGGCGATTTGGTTCCATTTTACCAGCTTTAGCAAAGCATTGTAGTGCTGCCAGTTTGGGATCCAAAACAGTTAAATGCTTTTCATTTATAAAAATAATAGTTATGGGCCATCTACAAGTGTTAAAAGTTTCCTGTCAATGCTTTAGTCATTAAAATAAAATTTTCTGTTTTGAAGGCAACGTTTCCTACTATATCCTACTCTTAAAATTTGGAAGTTTCTTCCTTTTAACACATTTTTAATGCATTAAGGAATTATCATTGTACATCTTTGTTTTAACAGCTTTGCTTAATTCTTAACTGTAAGCAGTAACCTCCTTCAAAACCAGCAACATTTAAAAGAACAAATAGACCTGGATATACTTTAGAGTAATGTTTTCTACTTATCTCTAGGCATTTAACCATATTCTTTGGTTAAACTAAAAGTTGGGGAAGAGTAATGTTAGTCAAACATTTCTACTGCCACTGCTTTTTTTAGTAGTATAGTTGAGGATTAGTAGCAAGTTGGTGATGGGGTGGAGGAATATGAGTGGCCTTAGGAAAATCCGTGCCCTTTGGTTTATAAATAGATCACACATGAATTCAGTGTATTGCTTGGACTTGGTGGTGGGAGGAACTGCTGCGCATGCCAGCTCATTTTACTTTGGTTTTGCTTATGTAGGGTTGCTAATAATGGGTCGGTAACTTAACTCTTTTAATGATTATTTCCTTGACTAAATTCTTCATCATTTTGAGTAGATTGCCTAGTTAACTTCTTATTATCAACATTGATTGTAGCTACAATCCATGAATTTTGAGTATTAAAATGTACCATGTATTCTGTTGAACACATGCTGCTGTGCTGCTGTCTGGGGCTCTAGTGTACCAAATTTATTCACTCATTAAACTGTTTATAGAACTTGAAATAAAAAAAATCTATGATGTAAACTTTGAAATCAGTACTTTAAATTTGTTATAACATGGTTTTAGTGTTGAAACTTGCATAAAATACAACTCTGGTAAATTATAAAATAATGTCTATAAAATAAGACTCAATGAAATATAGAGAGTAAAAATTTTTTATAGTTACTGTTTTGAACTGAAGTGGGAGAAGGTCAACACTATCTTGGGCAACATTCAAATAATTCTGAAGGGTATTCTGCATCTGTTGGTTCTTAAGTATCATGCTGCTGGTGAAATTAATGTCACTACAGTTCTTTCTATCATTTATTTGTGAAACAGGTGTTAAATGGCCTGAACTTAAGTGCTGAAGATAGCAATAACACTGGCTTCTAATTATAGTAGTTATATGGGAGCCATTTAGCAGATCCAGTTGCTCAAGTGTGCTTTTGGATGGCAGTTCAGTTTCATATACTGGCCATATCGGGGCAAGGAGAGACCATGGGAAAAAAATAGTACAGCATTTGATAATGTCAGCATCTGTTATCCCTGTCAGGGAGACAGTTGAAATGTTTGAGTTACACCAGTGTCAGCAGATGCCCAGAGTTTAACATGTACTCAGTTAAAAATGAACAGCTGATCTAAGTGATGGATGTGACATTTTAGAGTGATTGAAAATATTCTGATATATTAAGCTAAATTTGTAAGCACCAGAATCAGTTTATAATTTTTCTTCATAAATAAATATCCTATCATTTTATTTTCTAAGGATTATATCTACTCAGTATTATAGAAAAGAAATTCTTAGTTGCTGGAATGTTTAAAAAGAATTATTAAAACCTTTTATACTTGAAGAATAAGTTCATTACAAAACACGAGTAGAATAATATCCGTTGAGTAGTTTATAGAACAAACTCTACTTCTGAGGCATATATTTTCATTTGGTATTTAGGATATGTACAGTAAACTTAGTGGAATATGAAGCATTGGCATTTTTCTTGGTGGATGTCCAGAAGGGCTATGTTTAAATGAGTTAAGATTTGAATTAATTTCTTTGAAAATGAATAATTTCAAAACATGCTTTTTATAATTTCCAATAAATGTGCAATTATATACATGATACTATATTTAATAAAATAATTCATTTTTAATAATTGGATGAAATGAAAATCACCTTTCTATTGACTAAGTATCTTATTAAATAGAGAAAATTAACTGTAATATAACCTATGGTCATTTCTTTTCAATTTCTGACACAAAAATTTAAAATAATATATACTTTTTTATATGTATTAATATTTCAGTTGAAATAACTTTTAATAAGAAATAAGAATCATGAATACTAGTATCTTTTCTTTTTTCTAACTTTATAATAGCTTAAAATTATCAATTATTGCTAAGAACGTTATAATTTTTATAACTATACAAAATAGACTAACATGCTAAATATAGTAGATCTATTCTGTCTGTAAAAATGGAAATATAACTAATAAAAATGGTTATTCTGTCTGTATAAGTTGGCTCTTGATTATAGTATTTTCATTTTATATGCCCCTGTTGGAGAAAGCCGATTCAAAGGTAATACTATCTTTTAAAAGTTTGGCAGTCGGTTACCAGTATACCCTCTTGACTTATTTTGGTGGCCCAGCATCTTGTCATTTTTTTTTATCTTTTATTCTTATGTTTTAATTATTTTAACATAGCATTTAATAATGATATTAGGTTAAAAACTTGATAAACTTGCAAAGGATAAGGGCCACTTCTTTTTGTACAGAGTTTTACTTAAATGATAATCTTTTAGAATTATGACTTTCTATAGCTATCAACAAAGAAAACAAAACAATGAAAACTTTAGCTCAGAAATTTTTCTAATATTAATAATTATAAATTTACCAAAAGTGAAAAATAGCCATTAAAGCCTTAGTGAAGTCAGCTTTTGTCATTGTCTTATTTTTCCTACTAAATCTGTTGGCTCTACTAATGTGGTATACTTAAATCAAAATCAAATTGTGGAGGCAGAAAATAGATCATGTGTATTTCTTAGTCTTTTGTGCTAGTAATCTGTTTTTCCTGTTATGGTCATTTAAATCATGTGAGTACTCAAAAAATGTAAAATGTACTGTTTTAAACTTTAATGTTTAAAAATGAGTTTCATTATAATTTGAATTCTACTTCAGTAGAACTTTTACTTTACAAAGTATAAATCATAGGGATGTTTAGTTTCCATCTATAAGTAGTAGGTATTTTTTCTTTGGTGTTAATATCGCTAAAGGTCATCTACTTGAAAATAGGTTAATTTACCATATGAAGGTCATTCATGTAGAAAGAAGCCAGGGCTTCTTTTAGCATTTAGTTCTCTCTTGGTGGCTTATTACCTACCAAAAATACATACTTCTTTACATTCCATAGCATTGTATGTTCATATGGGTACATAAAGAAGTATGTGCTCTGAGTAGGTATTACTAAGTTGTTAGCTGTAAAAACACAAAATATCTTATTTTTCCTTCTGTTAGTAAAACATTGAGCTTATTCATGTATTACAGTGGTAGATTATTTGCAGGCATTAACTTATCAAAGACTAAACTTTATAACAAATTTACCTGATCATGTCATTAATTCCACTTGTGGTTCCTTGTTCTTGATGGATATAAACATTTCTAAACATTTTGAGCAGTTAACGTTGAATTTTTTTCTGGTTTGGTTCTTTTTTTGTAAGACATTGATAAAATCAGTGGAGTTTTATAGTGTATTTCAGAAGTTGGTAAGATCAGCCTAATCTTTCTTCTTTATAGACTTCAGAGAATTTCTTCTTCTTCTTTCTTTCTTTCTTTCTTTTTTTTTTTTTATAATTTGCTTCTAGATCCTGGAAGCAGATAGTAATTAATTTGGCTCGAATTCTTTTTAAAACCAGATACCTTATTTAAAAACTTAACTAATTAACCAATTAGCACTTCTAGAATTGACTCAACAGTTGAAACAAGGAGAAAAACCAGGTCTTTTGAGCATGTGTGTGAAGTGAACCTTTAAAAATGGTGAATTTTTTTTTAGTTTTTTTAAGGTGGTAGATGAGAACTTTTACTCATTTGAAAACTTCTTTGTCATTTCTTTGTCTGTTAGTTTTTTTTTTTTTTTTAACCAGAATTCTGTGCTTCTATGCTTTTGTTTGGGTGGAATACAAATTCAGATAATTGTATATAAGTGTCTAATTTTGTTGAGTTTATTCTTTTCAGTAGAAAGGAAAACTACCAAAACAGTTAACTTTTTCAAAGTCTTACATAAAAGAACTGAAAGGCTTTAACCTCTGAATACCTGGATTTTAGGTGCTTGATATTTAGCATGAGAAAAAATTATAAAGTTGGTGAGTAGCCTTTAATTATTAATTACATTCAAATGTTAATTTAGAAGAAAAACCTCAAAAAAATTTAGATTTGGCAAAGGAGGAAGGAGGACAGGGATGGTAGGATTTCTGCAGCCTGTGATAGAAAACTAGTGCAGCTCATAAGGAGCAAATCCGAACAGCAATAGATAGCCCAGAACTACAGCAGTCAGCATTGCAGCATTAGAATTACACCATGCACTTTCTGATTTATTTTTGTGGCCAATTAATAGTAAGTATTAAAAAATATTTTGTAAACTGTATGTTTCTTGGTTGACTAAATTTTAAATAGACACTAGTTTTTAAAAGTTAGCATACCTTGGAAATACAGATGCAGAGTTACTTTATTTAAAACCATCATTTAATCTGAAACAATAAAAGCTAAATCTTTAATAATTTAGGCAACAGAGATAGCCATTCTTTTAATATTGCGCATTTTTGAGATTAAGAGTTATTTGCTGTGATATTTATACAACATTTCTTTTCATACTACCTAATCTCTCAATTTGAACTGTGAAGTTAGCTGTGCCCAGGTAGCGTTTAATAATAAAGGCATATATCCAGTCAATGATAGGTAAACATGCAAAAAGTCATAAATGTCCTTAAAAGTACAGGCCTTGTATTGTTTTACCTGGAAGCTTACTGTCATGCAGCATTTGCAGCAAGGAGAGAGGTAATGACCTAGAGAGTCACATAAGCTGCAGCCATCTCATCTTGATTGTTCCTTCACTCTATTTGCTGATTCAGCACTTCTTTTTATGAGCCGGATGAAGTAAGGGGATTGTATCAGTGAACAGAGAACGTCACCTTTTAAGATAAATTTGAAAACAAATGAATAAACAGCATATAACTTACTTTTCTCCTTCCCCTTAAAAGACAAAAGCTAAAATAAAATTGAATCTATGTTGGCCATTTGCTTTGGAATGTTACATACTACTTATTACACAGATATATAGAGAAAGTTAAGTAACCAAGGAAGTTTTTGCTACAATGGCCAAGAAAATGTACTTAGTTTATTTGTTAGACGAAATGCTTCAGAATGGGGAAAAACTTGCAAAGGAAGTTAATTTTATAATATAAAAACACCAAAAACCGAAGCACACCTCACTCCCCCCAAGTAACTATAAACATTCATCCTGTTTTCCTTTGCCCACCAGAGTACATTGGGTTCTTCTGACTCCTCAGGAAGTATTCTGCATCTTTCTTGCTTTGAGATTATTTTTGGTTTTGATTTCCCAGGATTAAATGGTAGATCTGTAGTGAAGCTACCTTGTCATATCCAGAGGTCAAGTCTGCAAGCGAGGTCAGGACTTCCACATGGTCACTACAGAGGCTAACTTATATTCTTCCCTCAGTGACCACAGGCTAAACTGTTACAGCTTTATAGGCAGCTAAGCATTTGAAACATGCACTCCAGGCAAACAGGCTCCCCTGTGCCTCTCTCTTCCCTGACCATATTTAGTCAACCATAGCAAAAAATAGTCTCTCAGCTGTCGATTGTCGATCCAAAAGCTGAGGAAGCCTCTATCTTGCTTTCTGCCTATTGATTGTTCATCCTGCAGTCCAAACACTGCTTTGCCATTTGTCCTGCCCTTTTTTTTTTTAAAGTATTGCCAAATAAAGCGGTCTCTCATGTTTCCACTTGCATTTCCCAGATTTTTACTGAGCTTGCGCTGAGGCTAGGAAAGCCTCATGCGGCTGTCACTATACTTAGAAGCACTGCAGAGCAAAAAGGAAAAAAATTACCCTCGCTACTAGCAAGACAGTCTTTAGACAGAAAATCCCTCTGCTGCCAAAATACATTTTCTAACCTAAATTTTCTTCGTAAAAATGTTATGGATGGTAACATTTTATATTGGCTGAAGGCCTGAAGGGATTTTTTTAGGGTTTTATTCTGGGCTAGTTATTGCTGTACATGCTTTTTAAATTTATTGAATGATATTTGAATGGGAAATATGTGGAAATGGTAAGCAGAGTCTGTATATTGATGATAGAGATCATTAAGTGAGAGTAGTATATAAGTGAAATCTTGGAAATGCTGTTTAAAATTTTGAGTACAGTGTCAACTAATTTTAGGTAACTGTTGGTAGTGTTTAGTGAAAAATGGCCCAGGCAGCTTTCGAGTAATATTTTTATATTGAAACTAAATATACACATAGAAGTGTTAAAATGCAGTTTATTATGAATTAAATTCTGTTTTATATTCAAATGTGAAGGTTTTTTCCCCCCCTCCTTTTACAGTGTGATGGTTACTTAATTTTCTGAAATAACACTTAGGTAGGATCATTGCATGCTTTATCATAATATTTATGAACCTGTCTATAACTTTGGTATATTTGGTATATTGTATGTCTCAAAAAAACACCAACAAACTTCTGTTTTAAATTATAATAGCATAGTACCAATAAATTTTAACATAGAAGCTTATTTTTAATCAAAAGCAAAAACCATATTAAAACATCAAATCCAGTAAACCAATGGAGATATAGTTTAAAATCTCACAAGCCTAAAAATGCCCAAGAAAAATTAGTCATACCTGGTTCTTAATTACATTCTTTTACAAATTAAGAATTGTCACAAAGTTCATTCTCCTGAAAGGGAAATATGTCCTTGACATTCTTTTTGTCTTTAGCACTTAATACCCTAGCAGTTTAATTATTTTGCATGGTTGTTTTAAAATAGTGACATAAGGAAAATGCTTCTGTAAATATCTGGCAATTTTAAAGAACTGGCTTTCCTCGATGTTGAAATAATTTTACACATATTATGAGATGATAGGCCTCAATGTGTATAGAAGGTTAATTTTGGGGGCTCCTAGAGAATCCCATTTTTGCTATTTCATAGCAGTGAACGTATTTTTTTTAAGCAAACATATACTGTGTGCCAGGCACTCTTATTTTTTATACATATTAATTCATTTAATTTCCATAACAACTCTATGGAGGTATGTTTTATGATTCTTCTAATATTTTACAGGCGAAGAAATGGGGTCATAGAAATTAAATAATCTGCTCGAGTCGTTAGCCATTCTGATGAGAACTAGAATTTGAGCTCAGGTAGTTTGGCTTCAGTCTGGGAGCTCTTCACTTTATGCCATGCAGCTGCTCATCCGTAGTAATGAAATGAATTTGAGAATTACTATTCTTGGGGACTCAACAGTCAACCAAAAGTATAATATGTTACTAATGTCCTTGTTGTAGCATATTCAGAAAGATGAATGTTCATTTGCTTGCTTTTTCATTTGTTCTATCCAACAAAATTTGAGCTTCACATACTAGGTATGCAGAGTATTCTTTTTTGAATGAAATGCATTCTAGTTTTATAGAAACCTGCTTTTAGAAGAGCTAAAAGAACTATTTGTGATTGTTCAACTTTCTTAATAAATTCCTTTGTAAATTCTCGACTAACCTGCTTTACCTATTATTCGAGAAATTGTTCATTAACTTAGCAAGCATTTGTTGAACACCTAATGTGTGCCACAATACTATTCTAATGTGTTTTTACATTAAGTAATAATAATTTGTAAGGCTTTCACAATTTAGTTGCTGTTGTGTTTGTTTTGTTTTTTTAAATATTGCCTGTATTTGAAGAAAGACTTTAGAGACAGCATGGTAAGCCCTAAAAATTGACCCAGTGCCATTTGAATGCTACATACCAATGTAGACAGCTGCTTGTCCTCTCTACTTCTTAGAACTCATTTGTTCATCATTCAGCAAACGTTTGAATACTACCATGTGCCAGGGATTATGCTAGGCACCACTGTTAGTTGTTCCGGAACTTAATGCTTCTTTGGCACTATTCACAAATGCCTGCTTAACTGGTAGTAAGATCTTATCTTTAAAACATCCATGTCCTTAACCTTTTGGAAAACATCCAATTGGGAAATAAGGAAGAGTGAGCATTAAGAAAACTATTACCAAATCTCATATATTCCACTCCACAGGTGAGAGTCTGTTGGCTTAATAAGATCATTGATTTATTGAGCTAGTAATACCTTTATCCCAGTAATTTTGTGGACCTAAGCTTGAAGCATAATAGTCTGTCCTGTTAAGTAACTGAAGTTCTACGGTGAACAACCTGCAGTTGTCTTTTTTTTTTTTTTTTTAAAGAGAGAGGGAGAATTATTTTTTAATATTTATTTTTTAGTTTTTGGTGGACACAACATCTTTGTTTGTATGTGGTGCTGAGGATTGAACCCGGGCTGCACGCATGCTAGGCGAGCGTGCTACCGCTTGAGCCGCATCCCCAGCCCTCCCGCCTTTTTTTAAAAATATTTTGTTTTTTAGTTGTAGTTGGACACAATACTTTTATTTTTATGTGGTGCTGAGGATTGAACCCAGTGCCCGCACGTGCTATGTGAGTGCTCTACCGCTGAGCCACAACCCCAGCCCCTGACCTTCTTGATTCACACATATTGTGTGTTCCCAAAATGCCTGACCTATGGAAAGAAAGGAGGCAGGTTGCTTTGAATTGCTGACATTACATAAGGGTTAGGGAACCAGGGGCTGTTTTGCTTCCCTTTCTCTTAGCTCAGTTTGCAAGGTGGGTCCAAAGATAAGCTGTGTTTGTTTTTTTTTTTTTTTTTTAGGTTCTGTATTATTTGTTTTTGTTTATTTTTTGAGGTGTCATCAATTTGTAATTAAGATGAGGAGACAGTATACAATATATATTGTGTCCAACTACAACTAAAAATGAAATATTTAAAAAGCGAGCTGCAGGTTGTTCACAGTAGAACTTCAATTACTTAACAGGACAGACTATTAAATAAAGTCTCTTAATGGAGACAGAAACTAATGTACCCCAAATCTCCAGTGTAGAAAAATTTTAAATAATTTATGTTGACATTCCACTCTCAAGGAGGTGGAACATAACTTCCCATTCCATCATTGTGGGCTGGGCAAAATGACTTCCTGTCAAGAGCATGGTATAGGAATAGGGACGAAAGTAGCTTTATAGTTGAGAAACCTGACAAACAGTGCTTCAGCCATGTGATCAAGGTCAGCATCAAGAGTGATATATCATGTGGGTAGTATGTACCTTGTTATGATATGATAAACAGGCACTTTATGTGACCTTCCTCCCAAGAACCCAGACCCCCAGTGTAATCAAAAAGCTATCAAATTCCAGCTGAGGAACATTCTAAGGAAAAGGCCCAGTTATTATTCCTCACACTTCTCAGAGTCATCAAAAACGAGGAAAGTCTGAATAACTGTCAGAGCTAAAGGGAACCTGAGGAGATACAATTGTAATATGTTGTAGTCTAGTGCAGAGAAAAAAATTAAATACAGTGAATTTTCTATAAATCTAAAATTTGTTCTGAAAAAGTTTATTTAAAGCGCAGAGGGCTAGAGGTATGGTTTAGTGGTAGAGTACTAGCCTAGCATTAGTGAGGTCCTGGGTTTGATTTGTAGCACCACAAAAATGAACTAATGAAAGACTGAGTGAATGAATAACAACAGAAATTAACCCATCTACTCTTTTATTTCTTATAATTATACATGACAGTAGAATGCATTTTGATATATCATACATAAATATAGTATAACTTGTCATTCTTGTAGTTGTACATGATATAGAATCACACTGGTCATGTAATCATATATACACATAGGGTAATAATGTTTGATTCATTGTACTATCTTTCCTATCCCTATACCCCCTCTCCTACCTTTATTCCCTTTTAATCCAAAGTACCTCTATTCTTCCCTATCTTCACCCTCCTTATTGTGAGTTAGCATCCACATATCAGAGAAAACTTCGGCTTTTGGTTCTTTGGGATGGGCTTATTTTGCTTAGCATGATATTCTCTAGCTCTGTCCACTTACCAGAAAATGCCATAATTTCATTCTTCCTTATGACTGAGTAATATTCCCTTATGTATATATACCACATTTCTTTATCCATTCATCTGTTGAAGGGCACCTGGGTTGGTTCCATAACTTAACTGTTGTGAATTGAGCTGCTATAAACATTGATGGTTGTGTTACTGTAGTATGCTGATTTTAAGTCCTTTGGGTATAAACCAAGGAATGGGATAACTGGGCCAAATAGTGGTTCCATTCCAAGTTTTCTGAGAAATCTCCATACTGCTTTCCATAGTAGAACAAATTTGCAGTCCCACCAGCAGTGTATGAGTGTATGTTTTTTCCCCTCAACCTTTCCAACATTTATTGTTGCTTGTATTCTTTATAATTACCATTCTGACTGGAGTGAGATGAAATCTCAATGTAATTTTAATTTGTATTTCTCTAATTGCTAGAGATGTTGAACGTGTTTTTAATGTATTTGTTGACTGATTGTATTTCTTATTCTGTAAAGTGTCTGTTCAGTTCCTTATCCCATTTATTGATTGGGTTTTTTTTTTTTTTCTTGTTGGTGTTAGGATTTTTGAGTTCCTTATATATCCTGGA